GTATACCTTTTCTAGGTACGTTAGCCTGTGACCACGGAAATTGGCCGAGTCAAGTGATGGATTAGTACGGAGAGATTGAGACAGAAGGAGGTACTGGATAGAGAGACCGGGATGGTTTTTAATGTGAAGACAACAACAACAACAACAACAACAACAACTCTCACGCGCCTTGCCGCGGGCGTTCAAAAGATGCCTTTATTTTTGTTTTCCGCCACCGCAATCGAAAGTTGCAGAGGGCCAACTCTATCAGGCTTCATCACTGCGTGCACTGTAGCTCTTCGTAGGGAGACGACCAACCTCCTCACTGGCGAGGTTTGGAGCCACCGTAGGCTTTCCCGGTTGAGATTGTGTTTGCTGTATTATTATGCCGTTGAGACTCCCTGTGGCTGTTACATTGTCGTACCCGCTCAGGTCTCAAATACCTCCATAGAGCGCGCAAAGAGGTATTCGGTCCTTGTGAGCCACAGGCATGGCTTAGTCTGCGCTATTGACAGTAAGGATATATATTTTTTCTGTCATGTGCAGCTCTTCTGCAGAAACCGTTGTGACTGTTGTTCGGCGACGCTGAAGGAGAGTGTCGCCGTCTTTCGGCCTTCTTCGCACCTAAAGGAGGAAATTGTGGCGTACGACGGTGCCGGGCGGGTTTCTGCCATTCGTATTCGATGCTGAATCTCATTGTTCTTGCCAGATGCCTAGCGCAGGCCCCAGCTAGCATTCACCGCACTTGTGTTTTTGCTGCGCTGCATGGACTAACGTACGGAAAAGCTGGACCGCAGAACCACAAACGGGTTGAACAGCAAAAAGTTTAACCAAGCGTCTTCGCTCCAAGGACTGGTGGGTTGGTTGCATGGGAGAGCGCCTCTTAAGGGGCTGAGAAGATGGCAGTCAAGGTCACAACGTTGAATGTCTGCTTCCTGTCAGGCCTCTGCGGTGGCGAAATGTTTCTTTCAATCCACTGGCAGTTCTTTCTTCAACACCTTGTGCACGGGCGCTGTATGTACCAGTGTACGCAGCGTAAAACACGAAATAGGTGTTGGGAAACATCTGTCGCGTGGACCAAACGCGCACCATACGCGGCTGGCTGTGGTCGCGCATGTGCGTGCGTCTATCTGGGAGCTGCTGGGCACGTGCCCGGGCTCTTCACCTGTGTGCACTTTTACCTTGCTTCAACTCGGTCCTAAGTGAGAGTGGTTTTCACCGCAGGTTTACAACAACAGCAAAACACGTATGATGAGTTTGTATCGTGCCCATCGGAGGCCAAAAGCTTGACATAAAACCACCATAAGGTACCCCCCTAACATGATGTTCAGCAGTAGTACAAGCACGCCTGCTGGTATGACCACAAGAAACCCCGTCCAAATGGACGAGAACCATAAATAATGGCGCTCGCCAGCTACCTACCCAAGAATCATTTCGCAGACCATTTACATGGCGGACCCCCACAAAACCCCCGAACAATACACCCTTCAAAGCCATAGCACCAACTAAGATGCAAACAGTGACACATCCACTTCCTCTGCAACGCATCTGACGTATGACCCCCCTACAAATGGCGAGCAGGCTTTTATATGTAGACTTGGGTAGAAAAAAAAACGGAATACTTCAACCGTTTCCTTCACGAAGGTTCCTGTCCCTTTCCACGCGAATCGAGTCGGCCACAACGCGTTAAACCATTCCGCACAACGAGGCCGCTAAAATCAAGAAACACCCGAATCGCTCGACGAAAGGGAACACAGAAATTACTCCTTGTATGAGCCCGCGTTCAGGACGCGATCGCGTTGCGTTGGGCTGGTTGCCCGAGCGCCGAAAAAGTGGTGCTAAATTTTGCTGGGGCACCCGCCGCAACGTTCCTACGCCTTAGAGACTTATCATTTCAGGCGCTGTCAGCGACTATCTCCCAGAGTGCTGATGCCAAATAATGCACCACCACGAGCAGGCCGGGTTATTCTTGACTAGTTTGACAGGGACATAGTCTACATACTCAAGGTAAAATGCAATATTGCGCCCGCGAAGTCAATTCCGAAGTAGCAGAGGTGACTACAGTGGACTGACGCAAAAACCCATGAAAAATGGTGCCAAAAGCTCCCGATGTCGCTACTATGTCAGCGCTTTTCTATTAGCACAACGAACGACGGTATCTAGACATAATTCACAAAAGGCGTGCCAACCCCTTCCGTGCTTCGCGACGACGGCCAACAACCTAAGCATCGTCATCCCCGGCAGCATATATCAATAGTTTTTGGTACGGTAGTAGCAACGAGGCCTACAGGCTGCTGGTGAGGCACCCCAGACGAAAAAAAAAACGCAGCATGTGTGATGCCGCCGTGGTTCTTGGCTATTGTCTTGAAATTTCCAACGAAAAGGGCCTCGTCGGGATAAAAAAAATACCAATACAGTCGCTTCAAGTCCACAGGCGCCAGGCGGCATTATTAAATAAATGCCCGAATCAGCAATATGTGTAGAGAACGGTACAAACGTATGGGCAAGATGTCACGGTCAACAGTAACCCCAGCGTGCTTGAGTTCTAGGCGGGAGGACTTGCCACGAAATGTACAACAGCAATCTCTGCAACGTTGTGCCTGCAGTTCAGTGCAGACAGAGTTCCGAGAAAGAGACAGAATTCGAGAGATTGCCGTACAAACCCGATCGACTCGGTCCAAAACGGTGTAGCCGGAGTCAGCCATGCCGGCGTTCCCTGACCCACGCGGTCGAGAAGCACCCCGTGTCAGGCCCAACCTTTCGCCGACGGAGACCTTCAACCAAAAGCCAACCAATCACGACACCTAGACTGTTCTTTTAAGCACCCCCCAAACGCAGCCGTTCCTGCTGTGATTTCCCCGCGCGAGTCACTGCGCTCAGCCACGGCCGTGTCGCTGAATTGACACAATCGGCCGCCGGAGAATGTCAAATAATCAGTGGCACAATGACAGCTTGACTCACGAGGTCCAAAGGAACGGCGCGAGGCTGAGCAGTCCCCCGATGATTCCAACGGCGGAAGCAACAGCAGCAGGAATCACCGGGCGAGATCCGCCGCTCCCTTCCACGGTTATGGGGGTTGGTGTCGCGGGCCAGGTGCATTCCGAACTATCCGGCCGAAGCTGGTAGATGACTGGCACGCAGCAGGGGCACTCCACCAGAGCATCCGTTCCCCCCGACTGGTGGTGGCGATCGATTCGAGGCGGAACAAACGTGTATCGAGATCGCGATCGAGTGGCGATGAACGAGAAAAATGAGTCAGCCACTTCTACACCCAGGCGCCTTCGCTATCCTACCGAAGATGCAGTTGCCTGACCGTGGGTCCGGTCCCGAAATTAACAACATGCGATAAAAGACTGCAAAACGAACGCACAAGCCTGTTAGCAACGGGGGCCCGAAAATCGACTGGCCCCAACATGTCAAACAACGAGGCTTTCTGGATATATTTTCGGCTGAACGCACATTCTTCAGCATCGCGCTACAGACCTACTTTCGCATTATCACGTTAGAGTGGCCCGTCCGTTGCCTGCACGGCGGCCGTTGCTGTTGTTTCGGACAAGTTTCCTTACGTGATAAAAATCGCGATTCTTGCATCTGCGTGCGATAACTCTACGGTAGATTTGGCTACGGAAAACCCTGGTGCTGACACAGATCCTCGGGATTCGTATCGTCAACGAACCCTCTGCGTTCCGTTTCGTGAATCGCTACCCTTGAGATGGCCAAAGATTCGTCCGCGTGGATATCCTGTGTGCCCTCTTTGAAAAAAGGCGGTCATGCAACTGTTGGTAATCGATTGCAAATCATCGAGAGGAGGAGCATACCCCCGCACGTTTTCGAAAGTGTACGTCCCATACCAACAGCATGCAAGAAAACACGGATATCGTCGTTCTCTAGGTGAGTATGGGGCACTCGACATTTAGCTCACCGCCGCGTAAGCAGTCTCGTCGAAAATGCACTGTCGGCAGTCTACATTGCCGGCGATGTCGCAGCCGAGCCCCTCGCAATTTGCTTCGTAGTAGGTCTGGCGTGGAGTTTACGTAGGGCGCGGAAAGACACACGGGTCGTGGTATCACGTTCTGCAAGCACATAGCACAACTGCGAAAGAGCCTTTGCCACACGGGGATGAGATCGTATGGGGCGATTTCCTCGTGGTAAGCTGGCGCGCTTCGGCTCCGAGACACTGCTGCTTGATGCACTTGCTTGACGTACGGGGCTGGCACAACAACCAACGGATCTATGCTCACTATGCACAAGCGGCTGTTACCGAAAACGGAGGTTGTGGGCGGCGGCGTTAGGCCACGAGCCACGAACAGGCTACAATGTCCTGTCTTGCTGGTGCCGTACTGTGGGTCTGGCATCGTTTCGCCCGCTCGTGAGTTTCACCCCGACGCGTCATGATCGCTTCATCCACCACCCGCTGGATGATACAGCCATCAGTGACGGCCTTTACGACGAAAAGAGGAGAGAACACCTACTGTAGCAAGGGAAAGGGAAATGTTCACGGGCATTCCCCCTAGGCACTTTAAGTCCATGATCGTGTTTGGTTTGGTCAGGTGGCCTTAGGCCTGCTCGACATGCATTCGAGAGGGAGGTTGGTGCTTGACGTGTGGGTTCTAGCTCTCCCCACAGCGAGGAACGAACAAGCGCATCTGTGCGCTACAGAACCTGGCGTGTGTTCCTGTGTGTAGCTTCAAATAGGCACGGAAAAATCATGTTTATTTATATTCTCGTCCCCACTTCAAGTCGCTCACCCCAATGCCGTTTGCCAAGTCCAAGGTAGATGCGATGTCGACGCACAACGTGGAGTCACCCGTTGTGTCACCCGCCACGCCGACTTCGCAGGGTTCCATCGCAATCTGTCAAAATCAAGAGATGCAGGCAGGGAAACAGGGAGGTAAGCCCATCGGCCGCGCTCTCCCGCCACTGCTGTGCCGCCGGCGGACACAACTCACAAGTCAGGAAGGGATAGAAGTAGCTCTGAGGAGAGGACGAGGGCAACAAGACAGCGAAGACCTACCGTAGATTACATGACTTAAGATACCACACACTCCCTTGGACCGATTTTCAAATCTCAATCGCTCCACGACGAAGAACATGCCGAATCAAAGGATACCTTCTCGGGAAGCTCGCGACGAGATGGTTCCCACATATTCGGCACGCGTTGCTACTTCTGCCTGCCGAGTAGTCGAGCTTTGAAAATCGGCCCACGGGGTGTGATGTCTTATGCAGCCAAAGGTAGACCAGAGCAACCTATGGCCACAACGCAATGACGAAGCGTCACCATCACCACCACCTCCAAAACCGATACACATCACGCCAAGGAAAAGCCTCGAACACACCGTCGGGGCTGCGGTAGGAGCTGGAGTAACGGCCATGACCGGCGCCAGCGTCGCGACCCCCCCCCTCGCTTCGTCTTCCACCAGAGGGGAAGATGTAACACCGGAAACCATGGTCGGCGCAGCTTGCGGCGCCATGGTCGGCGACGGCGTGGCCGCCGGGACTGGGATCGGGGCTGCGGAGGTGACGAAGTCGCAATCGATGTCCCCTCCCACCCCGTACACTTCCGGCACGCAGCAAGGGCAGTCTACGAAGGGCACCTGGTCCGGAGCGAGCCAGCACACCATGCACCAAGGGGATCGGGCGTTCGATAAACCGGCTCTCTCCCTGTTTGAGGACGAGTCCCTTGAAGACTGTACTAAGGCGGATTGGCGTTATTGCTTAGAACATAGAAGGGTGGAGAAAGTGTATGATCCAGAATAGCTATACTCGAGAAAACGCCATCAGACCAAATGACCTCGCGCCTGCACTCGTCCTGTACACCATCCGGTCTAGGAAGATCGGGCTTTGATGCAGGGTTGGCAGTTAGCGAGGGTTGGGCAGTTTCGAGGCCGTTGAGCCGTTCGCCGTTCGGTCTCTCACCTCCTCCCCGTTGAGAATGGTCTGGCTGTAGAGGGCGCGGTGGAAAACGCACAGCCTGCAACTGGGGACGCTGCAACCGAGTTGGGAGTCAAGGGAGGAGGTAGCGGGCCGTTGCACGGGCACGAAAGAGAAAAGAGGGTTGGGGATCGCGAAGAGAGAGGTTAAACAGAAAAATGAGAATGGTGCGGGTACTTGATGTAATTATGACGGGGGGGGCTCGGTTGGGGTTGAATGGGGGGGATAACGTAGCCCGCCTGCGTCGTGCAGGGACTCGGCATTGAAAGTGGGCAAGACAGAGATTGCGTTGTTGGGTAGAAGCAAGCCGATCTCTTTGATACTTCGAATACTTGGAACGAGAGGAAATGGCTGGGCGGGCTTCGCAGTTGTGCCCATCGACCGTAGACCCGCTTCGCTTAGCCCGGTCAGCGCCGTTGAAAGGAGCTATTTTGAAAGTGTGGAAGGTTGGCCTGCTACAAAGCAAAAAGTTAACAAGAACGTCCTCCACTCCACTGTATCGAATCGTTTTGGCGAGAGCAGCTAACACACTGGTCGTGGCCTAAATTGAGGAGGGATGTCGTTTTTGAGGAAATTGTGTTTTGTTTTGATCACGTCCTATCTCCGAGAACACTGCTTTATGCAAGGGGTCGTCGGCCTGCCGAGCCAACGCCTTGGTGGCTCTTTCTCACCCTCCGAGAGAGCAGCCCACGAAACCCGTTCCCGACTGCGCCCCCGCGCAACCAAGCTCGTCGTAGAATGCCCCGACACCGTTCGCCCTGTCCTGATCCGTCGCCATTTCAACTGGAAACCAATATGTAAGCACGAATAAGTGGCAGTGACAAGCGGGCGTTCTCATGAAGGGGAAAGGGCGAGTTGTCCCTGAGTTTGGTTGTCGTCGCTGAAAACTACGGTTTTTCGTTAGACATTGCAATTGTTGTCTGCCACACGGTTTTGAAAAAATCGAGCTCCACGGCACCCACGGTACGGTATACAGCATCCATCCGAAAAACACTCAGATAGTATTGACTGCTTATACAGGCCCTGTTCAGGGATTCGAGCCAGGTCGGAAGTCAGACGATGCAAGACAGACCTCATCGCTCAGACTCGGACCGTCGGGTAGTATTCAATCCAGAGAGTGTGGTATATCTTGCAACCTACGGGGCCCCATAGCATTCAGGAACTCGTGGACCACCCGCACGGGAGTCGTCAGGTTTTTCATCTTTCTCTGTCCAACGCATTTCGTGTGCTGTTGGAAAAGCGAGGCGGGTCCAGCGAAATTTCTTCCAAAGCTAACCTCGGCAATCGCGTATTCGGGTTATAGTTGAAACAGTCTATCCACAGTGTACATATCGTGAATTCCAGAGGTCTCGAGGAAATCGACAAGGAACATCAGGGAGACCGCACCGTCGTTGTTCACCAACAAGAACATCGCCAACAATTCATGAATTCTGCGAAATCTACAAATGAATCGAGTTCGTAAAAGATTAAAGAACTTGCACGCCACCACGCTACCACTGCTGTTCCATGGCATGATCATTTAATATTAACCTTCGTTTAGGGTGGGTCCTACGTAATTTTTTTGGACTCGAACATCGAACATCGAACAAGCGGTGTAATCATGTGATTGGCCAGGAAGGTCCAACAGCCCAAAGAGATGTTCGGGTTTTCGAGTTTTTGTACGCCGGATCTTCCAGGGGCGATTCCGCCTAAAACTCTAACATCTTTCCACAAAAACTCGAAAACCTATACCTAACCTACAGTCCCGTGGACTATTGGGACCGAACTGGCGACAAAAAAGAAAACCCGCACGCATGCATCACGCACGTGCACCCAACACACACCACCAAAAAACACAATCTCGGGGAGAGGGAGAACGACAGAGAGGTTTGCAGGACAGCAACAGCAATACCCATGTCTGCACAGAGCGACGACGAGTTTGCGCTGGATCCCAGGGCCCCGCGTGCACAAACGGGGCCAGGTGTGAGGTTAATCACACGGGGGTTCCTTCCCGTCGCAACCATACAGCATTGCTGGACAGCCAAACAGCTGCAGCAGTGTTGGTGTGAGTCGGCAGGGTCCCGCGGCAATGCATGTGGGCATCAGGCCGCAAGGGATGCCGGGGTTCCACCCCGCGGCTTCGAGCGCTAGTTACTATCAACCGGTGCTGTTTTTGCTGGTCGGGCTGCTTCTTGTGCTCCTCCTCCTGGCGCCGTCCCTGTTCCTCGACACTCGTATCTTTTCGAGAGTCGAGTGCCCTTGGGTTTTCCGGGCGTGGTCCAACAACGCGGGCTGTTGAACGCAAAAACGTGTGTGTGTGGGATTTTTTTTCACGCTTTTTTGCAAATTTCAATGGACCCAAAAAGTCGAACATCGAACTATCCGCTTGTTCGATGTTCGATGTTCGACTTTTCCAAAAATTACGTAGGACCCACCCTTACGGCGGCACACACATCACAGTACACCCAAAGATGGAAGCAGAGAAAAGGAACGAGCACAGGAGCAACATGGTCAAGAAACTCTTCAGCTTACACACGCAACAGGCTCTAAGATCAGTAGACGTATCATACGCGCAGATGAAAACGACTATGATTCTACGAAATTCTGCAGCGGAACGCTGCAAACGTGAAATCATGGCAGTATTTCTCCCTGTGGCTCCCCGAAGACACAAGCGTGAAATCCGACAACACACGAGACGACGGATAATAAAACCGGAGTGCAGCAGAAAGCAGACTGCCCAGGCACCGCCGGCCTTGCCTGGTAGCCGCACAAACTTCCCTCGCAAGGATTCCGTTACACCAACAAGCAGGAATTTGGCCAAACTCTTCCGACAGCAGTGTAGGAAACAATCTAGTTCAATTTCAAAGAACGCAACAGCAAACATGCCGGGATGGATTCGATTCTTAGGCTCGCCAATATGTACCCGTCGACTCTATCCAACTCCATGCTCAGCTCACCGCAAAGGATATCACTCTCGTTAGCGAACGGATACGGCCGCTCGCAGAAACTGTAGTACGGAAACGTCGGCGGAGGAGTTGGCGCAGGGGTTGGCGCTGGGGTTGGGGCCTTACTGAAGGTGGGAGCAGGTGTGGGGAACAAAGTTGGCGCTGGCGTGGGGAAAGGTGTCGGGGCAAACGTCGGTGCCAAGGTGGGCGCCGGCGTGGGCGGCTCAGTGGGCCCTGGCGTAGGTGCTGGTGTTGGTTCCATGGTCGGTGCTGGCGTGGGCGCCTCAGTGGGCGCTAGGGTCGGTGCTGGAGTGGGTTCCGCTGTGGGGCCTAGTGTTGGTGCGGGAGTTGGTTGGGGTGCCGGAGTCTGTCGGTTCTGCCCCAGCGTGCGGGGGAGCGACAGCATCAAGAGGCCGAGGGCGGCAAAAAGAACTTGACGCGGCGTCCACATGGTCCTCGGTTGGAAGCTGGCGCGCAAGGGCGGTTTGCGGGAGGACGGGGTGAGCGGGAAGAGTGGGCCCCGGTGGCTGCGAGTGGGGTATCTTGTCTCGCAGCTGTTAATGCTGTTCAGTGTGTCCCAACAACCTTCGCCGGTAGAAAGCTTATGTCGTGGTATCCCCCCTTATGTACGCTGCATCCCGCGCCTCCTGCCAACCGCAGGCAAGTGGTAAAACGAGGGTGTCACGTTAGAGTGTTGTTGACCCAGCGACCGCAGAGATGGGCACCGGGGCGGCAGCATCGTAGAGATTGGGGGAGGTAGGCGGAAGTAGCATAATTGCGCCCTGTGGCAGGAGCAATGCCAGGCTTGTCCTCTCGCTGCCACAGCAGTCTACTGCAGCCCGGTAAATGGTGGCCGGGTGATGCGTGTGGTATCCCCCTCGCCATTCCTACCTTCCTGAAATAGCTTAATGCGTCAGGCATCATCCGTGTGGCTCCGAACCCACAAACGCGTCGAGTGCGTTGACTTCATCTTCTACCGGCCGGGGGCACGAAGATGTAGCTACAGCTCCAACATTAGGACCCACTAGCGAGAGAGCGAGAGCGAGAGGACGCGAACCCGATCAAAGGGTCTTGTTACCCCGACCGGTAGCCGCACGGAACCGTCAGGACCGACCAATGATAATCGCGCAAAATAATAGTGAAGGAAAATGCACCTACACCCCCACATGGCCCTCAACACCCCATATTCTGCTTATTTCGACATGATGCACCTACAGTGAAGGAGTCTCTCCTCGAACTCAAGACAGCTCACGGGTCGACGGCCAAACCCAAGGCGTAGCGCATGCCAACGCACCGTTCAAGGTTCGCGTTCATGCCCATCTGCCATCACACACACATGCTTACTATCGGTTTCCGAAAAAGAATAAACGATATTTTACGTGCGCACATGCAACGTGCAGCGCCTTCCCAATATAAGGTCGAGTGTAGGCGTGCAGACTCTGTGGTGCGTCCGGAAGGAATCGAGGATATTCCATCACGACGGAAGAAGTGGCCATCCAAGGGTCGGCGCTTCCACATGGACCTCGTGTAAACTGGGAAAACGGTGACACGCAGCAGTGGCGACGATGAAAATCAAATTTGTTCACCTCGATGCCCCGCCTCTCAGAACCACGTTGTTCTTCTCTTGGGAAGAAAAATGCTGCTGCTGCTGTGCCGCGGTTTGTTGGTCGACGAAGCTGTAAGCCTTCTGCTCAATGTTGGTGCCCTGGTGGAGAGAGGAAGCGTGCAAGGAAACATGCCAGAGTGGATCAAGGCGTGGGGTACTTAAGGTGAATTCGTCAGACCGGAGAGATGGGGTCAGACGAGGAGCTTCTCCTCCTGGCAGTGGTGGTATCATTCGTGCATGTGCGACAAGGGCAGCCGTCCGTTAGGCGCGTCCATTATTCTTTTTGTGTCTAATATCTACTTCTGTAGTCTAATTTGGAACACATACAGTCCGAAGCATACAGTCATACAAACCTCCGCTCGTTGACGAAAGCATACAACGAGTAGGCGTGATGTCACCGAGATATGCATCAGGGACGGGGCATAGTCTAGGATGCATCCGACCACCCCAGTTATTATTGAGCGGGGTCGAACGTGGGCACTTCTTCAAACTCACCTGACCCGCCGAGCGTGCTTGCTTGAGTGGGCAATGACGACAATGACCAGGAGGGATAGACCCCGAATTTCCTGCAAGGTACGCATTCATCTCTCGTAGATCTTGGTCCAACCATCTGTAGGAATCCTATTCACTGCTTCCGTCTGTAGACCACCGGAGTTCTTCAGCGTGGATACCGGAAGACAGGACAAGCTTCATCGGCCCAACGGCCCAACCAATGAATGGACAATTTACGTTGGAAAAAAAACAATTGTCACGATGACACTCAACCGCGGCGGAGCTTTCATTCAGCGGAACTGAATCGCACCCCGTAAAGACGTGTTTGGTGGATAAATCGTCATCGCTAACTGAAACCAGTCGGTGATTCTGGTGCATGTCCCACATGCCAGCCTTCCTTGCTTTCCATCCGTCATCACCAATAAAGCGCATCACCACACTAGACTAGACTATAGCTAAGAAGCTAAGAAGTCTTCATCTCCGTACTTATTCTACGTGCAGTAGTGTAGTGTAGAACCGCTCCGTTCTCTGAAACTATGATTACAGGGAAATCGGACGTGCGACGAATTGATTTCCAGCTCGTTCCATCGTACCTCATGTGCATGATGACGTCGTTTTTGTTCGATACGGGCGGCACATCAACATCTGGCTACTCTAGGCTGAAGGAGTGGAAACTCTCCTATATGGGTACGCCTCGCGGAGCTTAACAGCGGAGCACTACGCAAAGCTCAATGGGACCCACCGCCAGTTCCTTACACGGTGCATCGGCTGCAGCAAGCGGAAACGCTCAGACCGCCCCCTGTCCTATACCCAGGCCCTCATCCAGGCAGGCTGCGAGGAAACCATCGAGGCCACCGTGCGCAAACGGAGACTGTGTTTCGCGGGCTGTGTTATGCGCATGGAGGACAACCTCCTCCCCAAGCGCATGCTGTAAGGAGCGATGGCGGGGGGTGTGGGATACCGGGGCGGGCAGGAGAGCGACTGGGTGTCTCGTCTAGGAGAGGACCCCGTGGCCTTCAACATGGGAGACGAAATGGAAAGAGAGCGCCAAGAACCGGGAGGTGTGTTACAACAAGGTCGGGGACGGGGCGGCATGGCTCATGAGGAAATGGCACAGGCAGGAGGCGGAAGCGTCCGCAAAGCGCCAGCGCGCGAGGGAAGCAGAAGAAGCAGAGAGTACGGCCATCTCACGACCGAAGAGAGAGTCGGGGAAGCGACGGTGGAGGGGAAGAACGGCGACCGGGCACTGCTGTAGAAGCGAGTAGGGCGGCCGAGGCAGCACTTGGCGAACTATGTACCCGGCTGATGTTGTTGCGCCCGGTTCCCCTCCCTGCTGTATGCTACACCACTCCTTACTGTATGTATGTCCTTTGTATTGCCTTCGGCCTCTGTGCTGTGTTTCTTTTTTTCATGTCCTCCCTGCCTAGACTAGTCTGCTGTGTTGGGTACCTTGATCTGACTTTTTTTTCTGTTGCTTTTGTCTTTGTACATTTGGCTGTCTGCCCATCTGCCGCCTCTTTGTCATGTTTGCTCCGTTACTCCCATGCCCTGGTGAGTAGTGCCTGGTGCTGGTAAGTTACCCTCTGATTTTTTCTTCAGGCGGGTGTGGGAAGCGTCTTTCTTTATTTTCGCCTTTGTTTTCCGAGGGCTCCTGCTTTTTTTCTCGAACGGTCGGTGCGGTACCTGTTCTTTTTTTTATCATTTTTTTTTTTCTTAACATCACTCAACTTCTTTTTCCGAGTGGTTTGTACATTGGGGGCCCCGGTTTAGCGACCCCTAGTGTCACGACGAAGTATGGTCGCTGTTCAGGGCACGTCGCTAAAACCGGTTTAGCGACCAATCGCTAAACCGGGACCCTCAACAGCATCTCGCGGTCGCTAAACCGGGAAATAGGGCCATTTCGTGGGACTAAACAGGCCTTGTCAAGGAAATATTCTTGATCATCGGGTTATTATGTATACGTCGTATTGCAGCAGTCACATGAAGGTAGAGGAAGAAAGAAGAAGTACCTTGGGGTGGACAACCGGGGAGAAGCCTAGTTCCTACGGTATTCATTCTAGTCAACCAGCATGCTTGTTGTACCCTCCGTCGTCTGTAGGGAATGTCTCAACAACAAGTGTAGAGGGTGTCCTTTGTCTTTTATGTTCGCGCATGCACAATAATCTGTCCCGACATACATGTGCTAGATCAACACACAAACACACCAACCCAAGCGTCCTCCTTTATTTTAGTTTTTATTTTAGTTTTTGTTTTATTTTGATCGGTTTCCGAGGGCTCTTTTCTCGAACGGTCGGTGCGATACCTGATATTTTCTTTTATCATTTTTCTTTTTCCGAGTGGTTTGTACCCTATTTTTGTTTTGTTTCCCCGCGGCGTCGTATGTGCCGGGTTTTGAGCCCACGGGCTCGCCATATTTCATGGACTAGTCTATAGAGCTAATGTGAGAAACAACAACAACAACAACACATTAAGGTCCGATCTGCGAAATTCGAAAAAAAAAAGCGAAAGAGGGGAAAACGTTATGGCAACGTCACCCAAAACACAATAATATCAAACACCCCTGATGGCACGGAGAGAGTTCGTGAACGCCCAAGTGGAAAAGAACCTCGCGCTGCTAGTGACTTCATTCTGCTTCTGTCGCGTGTTGCCGATCAAGTTTAACTCAACATGTCTCTGATGTCCATCTGTCGCGCTGGTTTCGTTGAGTGTGCTTCGATGAACAGCATCTTTGCCTTGCCAAGATGGTGCGCTGCCTCGCTTAGTCCACGACTCCTCACACTCTTGAAGCGATCCAAAATGCTACGATTACTCCGAGTAGGGCGGCGGCGCCATCATCACCTCCCCACCCCCCGCACTGCCAACTTCTCCAGCCCCATCGACCTCTAGAATATTTATCTTTTTCGTTTGGTGGATTCGAGACGGATGGGGAAGCCTGCATGTTCTTAGATGCACACTCGTGGCAGGTGCGGTGCAGCATCTCGATGCCATCGAGAACCTCCACCTCCCCACACATCAGGTGCAGGCGTACACCGCAGCCACCATGCCAAGCATGCCACTGGAGTGCCCGCATCCGGCTGTTTGCGCAAGTCTCCATCGGCGCACGGCATGTTGCGGGCGTGTAGAGCACACATCACTAGACTACTTCTACTTTCGAAAAATCCCACATTTACAGCTGTCTTTCTTGCTTTTCACACCGCGCTGTATCAATGATCATTGAATACATCCACGCTCCTTATTAGTTAGACTAGACTAGTCCATACAGATGGCGCCCGCACTTAAGGATTAGTCTAGCAGATAATAAATTGAGACTCGCAAAAAATCAGAAGCGAAGAACGTGAGCACCATTTGTGAGCTCGGTTAAGAACCCCACACTAAAACCTGTAGACTATAGCGGTCATTTGTAGCCCACAAGCAGCTGATCAGCAAAATAAGAAATCAAGCCTCGGCCGAAACTAGAGGTTCCCAAGTGCGGGCGCCATGTGTATTCTTCTGTCATCTACCTACTAAGTCAAAGCACGTTCTTCGTGTACCATCGTGATTGTGAGTGTCGGGTACAGCAGTAGCATCGCCGCGTCGGCTGAACATGCAAGAACGCAGGGTTCGTTCTTTCCTGTAGCGAGCGGCGTTTTACTGCAGGCGACTAGACCCTGCTTCGGGCGTGAAAGCTGCTTGCTATACCTAGACTGTACCGCATGCGACTCCGGGGTACTTGATGAGGCCCAAAGGCTCCATGATACGCAGAAAAAGCACGGTAGTCATAATAGTAGTCCGGGGCTCTACTACTTCGACAGTAGTCCGGGGCTTCACGCTGCTATGTATCCCACCATCGCACATGATGTTGCCGCGGGATCGACAAATGGTACACTAAAGTACACGAACCACGCCCCGCCGCAGTCTACAACCTGATGCGCAAGGTACACATGGTGCCATGCAGCTGAGCAGTAACGACATGCATCTCGCCACGTTCTTGTACGTCACCAGCAGTAATCAGCGGTTGTTTTCAGTAGTCTTGTGTGCGCTTTGCCGCGGATCCTGCTGTTTACGCATGCCACCAGCACAAACCGCTGTGACATGCTACAGAGTAGCGCCTATCGGAGTAGGAGTATCACAGCAAGGGTGGCTGTACTCAGCACCTCAGGCTGTAGCACCGGGAAAGCCACACAGGGAGTTTGATCAGTGCCGTCCGTACCTCTCGGTGGCACCAAAGAAAACAAGAATGAACCGATATCGAAAGCTTCTTTCAGTCCGGTGCCTTCCCAGCGCAAGCACGGCCACACGTTTCAAACACAATATCTACGCGTTCCCGCGACATCGCTGTGTTGCTCACGGAAGAAAACTGTCCACCAACTTCCGGGTAGCAATATCGGTTATACGACGCGCTCCCTGTGCTGGAAGCGTGTCAATACTCCTGGCTCCTACGCCAAAAGCATGTTGTTCTATCCCATGTATAGCGGTGTTCCTCTTGACCTTCGGCGTCTTTGCCAACCCCTGCCGCCTGTGCTATTTGGCTGATACTGCTGCCGTTTCCGGTGACAGGGAAGGCAGGAAGGACTCAGCAAACCGTCGGTACGCCCGGAGTCTTTCCGCGGCGTACGTGAGGTAGTCAAAGCCCGGCGCAGCGGCGTCACTCTGTCGCACGTCGATGAACGTGCGAATTCGACAACAAACATCATCGAGGGATCGGACGAGCGAGGTTAGAAATATAAAGCATGTCCAAGGAGTACCGTAATTACACGAGGAAACCCTGCTCCCGGCGTCAAATTTCCGGGTGTATCACAAGTGGCTCCTGGCCATTTCTTGAGCTGTAACTGGTGTTCGCCGAAATCTGGGATAAGCAAAAATCTGCGTGCATTATTATTTACGGATCCTGTACAATAGATCTGCTGATCAGTAAGCCGTTGTTGTGACGTTCAAATTCGCTTATCGAGGTTATCCCACCGGTGACCACAAAAACCAGCACAGAAACGATTGTAAAACACTTCCGCACCCGGTGCATTCACTCGCATGATTGCGGTAGTCCGTCGTGCTACGTGCCTGCTTTTCGCATACTGCTGCTGTCGAGGACGCGGTTTTTCGCGCGAGGAAGAGAGAACGTCGCGAGTGTCGCGACAAAACGGGACAGAGAAACAACCCTTTGAGCTCTCTCTTGCCTTCGATTGCAGTAGCGCCCACATAGCCCACAGGAGGTGCGACGCCAGAGAATAGGCATCAGCTTCTTTGACAAGGTCTTCGACTTCATCCGCGTTTACCTCTTCGTGCGGAACCTGCTGCGAACATCAAAGGCGAAAATCCGCTCAATTCAGCGACGTTTGAATCCATGGGGAACTGGCAGTATTGAACGTCCCGGTGTCGTGGTTCCTGCGAAAGAAACGGAGGAGGGAAGGGGGGCACCTACGCCAAAAGCGCGAGCGCTTCACATCATCATCCATAAAACTCACCCCGTTCATTGCCCCGAGGTAAGCCCTGGAGAACGTTCTCCGTTCCTGCGGCGAAGGGTATCTCTCAAGGTTCAGCACGTGAGGCTCGGCGGTCGAGTAGTCCGCCATCCATTCGCAAAAGTGGTTCCCCACGTCGAAACCCCGGGGGTTGTACCCGGCGTACTCGTAGTCGATGAGGGACACAACCGGCCGAGGTGATTCCGTAGGACCGGAGAGTTTCGGCGGGATCTTAGCAGAAGCACTGCTCTTGTCGTTGTAGAGGATGTTTCCGCTCTGTGGAATGGCAGGGGAGCAGTGGGCCAGGAACGGACGACGGGTTCACCCTACAATAGCTCACGCGGGCTGTCTCCTTTGTTCGATCCGGGGGGAGTCATCGCAGATGCAACTTTCATCAGGTCCTCACGCCAAAACGCCGAAGAAACGCCAGCAACGTTTTGCAAAGAATAAACCTGCCGCCCAGAGCAAGTGACGATAGCTCCCGGCGAAATGCAGTCCTCAAACCTTACCGTAGTCTCTAACCACACCCACGGCACGGTGTCATCGAGAACAACCACCTGAAAAGAGCCAATGGGCAGGATACGTTCATGATGTCCATGTGATAACCACTATAGACCGTATCCCCTCACTCCAAGCCCCGCCAAACAAAGCCCACCAGTGCCTAGGCAGGTGCGACTCCGGCTTCCCGTCGCCAAGTGTCCAGAATGGCCCAACGCGCGCAAGACTACCAAAGGTCGAAAGTTCACCACCCTTCCGAACAAACCCGGAACAACGCAAACAAGTTGGAGAAACAAGCCACAAGGTGCTCGCCTGTAAGTCGTTGTGGCAGAAGACTACCTTGGACGGCACTCCGCTCTCCAATCGCTGTCGTAGCGAGGCCGCGAGCCCGCCGAGCTCTACGACGTCCACCCCGCCGTGGACGTTTCCGCAACGCTGCAGAGCCTTCGCGTGAAAACTCTAGATAGGCGCAATATGTTTGTAGAGTCGACGATGTGCAATAATATCTTGGAAGTGGATAGAAGAGAAATGGGGGGGGTGGGGCGCATCTGCCGGCGCTTATATGACAAGACACGGTGTGGCGGCCCACGACCGACCCCAAAACTCGCTTCTTCGGTGGTGGGGATTGCCGAGTGAGCCAGGGCTAGGCATAGGCTTGTGGCGGAATCTCACAGTAGCAGAACACACGGGCGCGAACCAAAGGTGTTCTGCTCTATCAACATGTGCAGGTAGGCGGATCGTGGCGCGAAAGATACAAGCCTACATACAGGCAATGACCGATGTAGCTGAGGCTCGATGCAGATATGTCTTTCGGTTGTCGTCTTGGCCCTTCGACGTTCCGCGCTGATCGATCCCGCTCAACCAATAGAGGCGAATGATGGACTCACCAGGTTTCGACCCAGCACAACGAAGCAACCATGACAAAGCACCTGGGCGAAATGAACGCCTTCCACTCTTGCCGTACCTCAAGTGCTCCGAAGATGACAGGAGTCCGGCTCCCGACATCGATATCCAGACCGTGGAGCTCGGACATTCGTCTGCGATTGGGCACGGGCAGGGGGACAACCACCAACAAATACTCAAGGAACATGTGCCGAACACACAGGGCGGAGCAGGCACTGCACGGGGGGGAGTACAATGAGACGGGAAGTACACTCCTAGAACCGTCCTGGACACCGTCGCTGGGAACACAAGAACACTGGTAGGGAGCGGGGTCACCTCGAAGATTGTGCGGGTGAGTGGGCTGAACAATTCTATAGGGTCGACAGAAAAGTCCGAACAGCGTACCTTGCGATAAGGGTGGAGATAGCAGGTTTTCGCATATCCATAGCTCCCAGCGACTGCAGAAAGGAAACAAAGGGGCAAGCATGCGGGACTGAAAGCACACTGCTGTGAGCGTCGGCATCCACATGCAAGCCACGGAAAGGAACAACAGCCGTAGCGCCAGAACGTGGCCGACTTCGTAAGTTTAGGAAACCCCTCCACCTGTGACACGACGTAAATATTTCGAAAGTGTGTGGCTTCCGCGACCTGACATTTTTGGTGCCGTATACGAAGAGCCCAGGGTCAAACATATTACTTAAAGTAGCTGATAGCCCAAGACGATTTCCAACCCATCGGGTGGATGAAAACCTACCTGCACTGCACGGCACCGCACTGCGCGATGCGTATCTTTCTGTTGCCGAACATTTTGCTTCACCAGACACATGGTCATGAAGCTGCTGCACGACCCGTTGCAAAATGAGTTACATATCGACTCCTAGACTCTCCCTTCTGATACGGCTGCGTTGATTGCGAACAGCGTACCCTGCCCTCGAGGAACTGTTCAACGCGCCCGTCCCCGAGCGTCGCCAACAAGTCCGGCCCGAACCCCCGCTCTGCCAGAAGCTTGAACGCTCTCAGCTCCGCCTCTCTGCTGAAGAACATCTTGTGGTGTCTCAGCACGTAGTGAGAAGCACAGCAGTGGCAACCGCGGGAGAGGACAAGCCGTTAGACACCAAAAACACATGAACGAGAGAAGGGACACGCCACAAAACCCTTCATGTCCTTTGGATATACCCTCTTCGCACAATCGACAGAAAAAAAAAACGTAACTTGTTTCCCCCACCCCGACCAGTGGCCCGGGCCACCCCCCCCCTACGCCGCCAACCTCAGTCCCCTTGCCGTAGCTCCGAAGAAGCACTGTCTGGTTCTCGCCGCCCGGCTTGGAACACCGAAACACCGCGTTCGTCATGCCGCCCGTGAGCGCCCGCATGGAGAATCCGGAGGCCATCTCCTCTCGTCGCTCGTGGTCGTTCTCGGAATCTCTCCATCCCGGCGTCGTTGCCCGAAGCGCTCTTACAAATTTTCCGAGGTGGTTTGTGGGTGGGGGCGGTGGGGGCGCTGTTGGATAGGGTTGATGTAGGTGCGTGCATTTGCGAACACGTATGTATCGCACGTGCGATTGGGGTGGCGAGGTGTCCGGGGATGAGGACCTGTGGGCCTTCTTCCCTGAGCTATCGAGGGATGGTCGTATGCCGTACCTTGCCGGCGCGAGGATGCTGCTGCACAGACTAATTGCTGTTGGTGTGCGTATTCTACAAGCAGCAGCCTTCCCCGACGAAGAACATGCCAAGAACAAGAAAATGTCGACCGGAACGACAACCGGCACTCTCTTCATGCGAAGTCGAGGCCCGAGGGCACTGGAGCTGTGCCGCTGCTGTCACGTGTCCAGTTGTACAGAGTTCCCTCCCATTATTTTTGTCGAGCAAACCAATGCAGGCGGCGTTAGTGCTCACCTCAAAGCTGCCAGCTTCATATGTTCCGAGAGCGAACCCCCTGCCTCTGGCACGCTTCCGAGATCCAGACGTACCAGGGGCATTGCCCCTCGAGCTGCGGCTGCGGTTGCCATGCTATGTCCTGTTGGCGCCCCTGTGTAGTGCACCAACTCTCTTTATCGCGCGCGCGTAAAACGGACTCGTGCCTTAGTGGCAAGAACACGCTGCCCGTATGCTGATTTGTTTCAATAGATAGCAGCAGACACCACGAGCGGAGCACGGCAGCTTGTACAACAACACAACGGCAGCAACTGCTGCACGCAATGACCAAGCTAACAGTCCCGCAGGTTTCTTTTACCAATCAGCGACTTGCGTGCCAAAAAAAAACACGAAAAAAAAAGGGGGGACCACGGGCATCATGGCAAGAAAATTCTGCCACCCGCAGCTTTGACATCATCACACCGAGCGTGACCTAACACGGAGGAAGACAGGCACCCCCACAAGCACAATCATCGCTTCTCAAAGGATTTATTCTGCTGTGCACGTGCTCGTCTTGCTCGCTGCGCTGCTGTTCTACCGGACGTACTACAGCCCCACCAACAACGAGCGCCGCAACACCATGTCGGTGAGGGCCTTGATGAGTCCTTCGAGAGAGACAGAGAGAGCAGCTGTACACGGGGAGAGGGTGCATGTACCCGCCACTTGCTAAGGTGGAAACACAGCCGTTTTTGACTTCGGGCTTGACTCCCACCCCCATTTCCCCCGTGAAGACGCGACGGTGATGGCCTTTTGGTTCGCACGGCTCGCACCCGGTCCCCCGAAGTCTTGATCACGAGGAAAATGATGACGGTCGAATGGACCGAGCAGAGCGAGCGAGCAACGTCTCTCAGCCCCAACCTCTTCGCCCGCTTTGCCCCAACTTAACCTATTGCAGGTCGAAATGACTCCCGAGGCCGCGGCCAAGTTCAAAATGTTTGAGGTGAGCAGGAGTCTTGGCTCTTGGCTTTCGCGCCTTCTTTGTCAGCCGCAGCGGCTTGGCCTGGTATCGATTGCGTGGTGCAAGAAGAAATGAGCATGTGTTCCGCGCCCACGTATGTATGCATGCGGCCTATATTGGCTCGAACAGCTGCCTCTATTTCCGACAGACATCACGGGATTTCCGTCGGCTGCATGTGATCGATCAGGCGGGATAGCAACACGCCCGATGACACCCTACAGTTGAGGCCCGTGTACCCCATAAGAGAAGACGGTGCAAAAGTGCTCGCGGTGATCGCCCAGGTGCGCGTGAACGCGACAAAGTAGCGTCATACCAATACAACCGCCACCACATACTGCAGGTGCATAGCCGGGCGTCACCAGCCTACACCACGTGAAAAACGCATCTCGCACTCTTGTTGTCATGAAGATCTCGTTGCTTGTTTCTCCCGCACACCGAACCTCTCGCCTGCGTTCTCGCCTATCCCCTATCGTCGGTAGCATTTCAAGCCTACCACCGCCGCGTCCATGCGTAGCCATGCTCCGACGGGAGATGGTTGTGCGTGCTTGCGAAAAAGTCTTCAGGACAAACTGCACGTCTTTCTCTCTTCTCTGATATGCGCATGCCGCTCACCGCTGCGCGTCATCCAGCGCACGACTGCTGCCGCCGCTGCTCTTGTCATTGTGTTGCGTCGAGACAGACCCTGAATGTAGAGGTTGAGCGTACGCTATGTGCATGTACAAGCGTCTCTTTCCAAGGTAGGCCGCACTCGACCCACGAGGGAACAGGGTGGGCGGGGTGCTCTCACCCCACCTGGGAAAATGGCGGCGACATTTCCCATAAAATTGTGTTTTCATCTTCCGTGTGTTTCGCTGCCGTGCAACGTCTCCCCGCTCACATGCACAACATCTTGCTGCTGGCTGTTGTCGCCGTCTTGGGCAAATCGTTCCGCGCTACCGTTTGCTCACACGGCAGGACAAGATGAAGGCGGAAAACCTGAGCGCTGCGGCCATCCTGGCGTTCAAGAACTCTTACGCTGCGCTGGTGAGAGAGAACGTGTCAGCTTGCTTGTTGGCGACGGACGATTTAGATACACACAGCAGTATTACACTTGATTACTGCTGACTGCGGACTACTTACAGTCTAGTCTTTTAATGTCATCAGCCGGTTACCATTATCGCGGTCGATGATGTTAATACTTGAACACACACAGCAGGTAGTCCCCAACAGAAGCACACCAGCAGCAGTTTGTATTGCATACAACCGCAAAACCCGCCGTGTTCCGTGAAAACATTTTATGCATGCTGCCTTTCATCGTTAGCAGGTACAACTGCTTGTCTTGGCGAAGAAACTCGTAGACAGCTTCTTGCACCGTAAACAACGGATGGCCTGTGTTGGTGTTGTCTTGGATGATATCCCGCCCTTTTGTTCTCTCGCGGCCCTCGCCGTCGCGCCTACGCATAAGAAACTATCATGCGAGGTGGAGCAAGCATTGACCAAGTCGGCACGAGGTTTTCAGCCCACCTTCGCACCTCGTCAACCTCGTACATAGGTTGCTGACGTTTGTGCTTTTTTGCTGGTTTTTTTTTGTGCACATGTTTCGGCCGCTCGTGTGGGGATTTGACGCGGGAACGCACGCAGTCCTCTGGATCGTCCGGTATGATCGAGGAAGCTTCCATCGATCCCGCCACCGATGTACCGTACCTCGAGGGCGACATCAAGGGCAAGGTCACGTGAGTTCAAAAACATTGCTTATAGACATTGTGATGAAAGTTCGCGTATGAAGTATTTCGTTCATAGCGTTAGCACTACAACCTGTTTGTGTACGATTCCCCGAGCAGCATACAGCAGTAGACTAGTGATGTAGTATTCCTTGTCCTTGTCCGTCTGACGGTGGCGTGCATAGGGTCTAGGGGGGGTGCCTTCTCTCCGCCTGGTTACGGTATCCAGCGAAACGGCCAGCCTACAATACGCCTCACCTTGGAAGGAAAGGGGGTGCGTCATGTTTCACTTCAGAGTTATAACGCGTAAATGGTTCTGTAGCTCTTGACACAGCAAGGACGGTGCCGTGAACACTTTCACGTGACACGGTGGTAAATCGATGAAATGCGACCACGCATTCGTTCTCGATGCTCCCATGACACCTCCTCCCTCTCCGAACCACAGCCCGAAATCCGAATCTTGTCGGCGCAGAACCCATGTTCCTCCGCGTGGCATACCTTTTCATGACACCGCTTGATCGCGTGCTGTCGTGCGTGATGACGTGCTCATGGCGAGGGAACGGCAGTTTCGCGACCCCCTACGATCCCCAGGGTTGCCCGAAAGACGAATCAACAGTGGACCGCAAAAAAAATATTCCGAAACGCTCGAGATATTGAACACCGAACCCCCCGAATTACACAACAATGCAGCGGGGGCGAGGCTTATCTGCCGGAAACCGTGGTGCTGAAGCTCAACGGCGGCCTGGGTACGTCCATGGGACTCGACAAGGCCAAGTCGCTCCTCCCGGTGAAGGGGGACGACAGCTTCCTTGACCTCACCGCCAAGCAGGTGCGTGCGTGCGCTCGCTTGTCCGTCCGCGGCTTCCCCCCCCCCGTGCTTCCTCCTCGTGGTTGCTCCGGTTGTGCAGTCCATCGGCTGCACGGCGTTGCTGCTGCTGCTGCTGCTGCTGCTGCTGCTGTTGTGTTATGTTGTGACTGCGCTGGTACAGCAGTAGCGTGGCTATCGCGTTTCCCATCAACCACAGTGGCCTGGGTCTGCGCAGTGAAGATGAGCTAAAAAGATATGTTTTGTGTTGTGATTCGGTCAGGCCCCGTGAGGCGGAGTGTCCGCTTTTTTGTTTTGCTTGTGTGCGTCTGCTGCAAGGAGCGCGGCTGAAGAAGCGCACCGATACGTTCCCGCCCCCACCCCCAGGTGATGGAGATGCGCAAGACCTTCAAGAGCAACGTCCGGTTCATGCTCATGAACTCCTTCAGCACCTCCGAGGACACTCTGGAGTTCCTCAAGAAGTACCCGGAGCTTGCCAACGACCCCAACCTTGAGCTCGTGCAGGTGAGGGTTGTAGGCGTAAGTAGGCGGTAGAACGCCCGCTACGTACGTGTAGCATTGCGTGCGATGATTTTTAACTGGTGGCGCATGTAAACGAGCATTGCATGTATCGTCGTGTCGAATTGTATGAACGATATGTATCCATTCGATGTTTCGTATCGCCATCGAGTGCATTTTTTTTACTTCGATACTACACGTCATTTCGGTACACGTACACCCAGGAATTGGCTTGTGGTACACATTGGCAACCAGCGGCATCGCTTCCGCGCTCCTCACGATTGATCTCTGGCTTAGCGGTTGCGCACGACAGCTCCGGTACTTGCCTTGCAAACCGGCGCTGGGATCAAGCTGCTGTGCGCCCCGACCCTCAAGCCTTCTCCCTGTTGCCTCGGCCGTCTGCCCTGGCGTTTGCGTTTGATTCAAACGAAACCGAAACGAACAGAACAAGGTCCCAAAGGTGGATGTGAACACGATGGAGCCTGCGGCGTGGCCCGCGAACCCGGCGAAGGAGTGGTGCCCTCCCGGACACGGGGACCTCTACGCCGCGCTCTCCGGCTCGGGCAAGCTTGACGAGGTTAGCGACACTGCTTTTGTGGTTGCCGTTGTTGTTGTTGTTGTCGTCGTCGTCAGTTGTTGCCAGATACTGTTGCTGCTACTCGGTTGCCGTTGCAGTTGTTGGGAATGGTGGAGGACAAATGACAATAAGAACAGATGCACAAGCGCGTTGGGGGGAGGGTTGGGGAGTGAGAATGCGGGTGAGAGAGAAACAGAGCGCAAGCAGAAGGCAAGCTGTGGTGGGAAAAGTTTAATGGGCTACGTTTCAGACGGTTGAGCTTTTTCGTGTCTAGATTTAGGGTATTCCCCTTGATGGTACCCTGTGCGCGGGGGGTTTCGGCATGTGAGTGCTGATTGGTTTCTATACGCGCCGTGCTCTGCGTTCGTGTTGGTGTGTATGTGTGCATGCTTTTTTTCCTCGGTCACCCTCGTTGTATTTCCCTGGCAAAGAGGGTTTACGGTGTCGAACGCCAAGCTCTTTCGCGGGCATCTTTTGGAAGGGATCAGAACGGTGTTTCGTGCGCAGATGCCATCAACAGCGACTTCATGAATTCTACAACAGCAATTCTGGGCCTGCTGCATTGCGACCCGCCACCACCGCCCCCACAACAAGAAACCACTATCATTGCACAGCAGTGTCATCCCCAACCATCATCGCCGCATGCTTTATTTTTCGTTGGTGGTGCGCAGCTGCTGGCAGAGGGGATCAAGTACATGTTCGTGTCTAACTCGGACAACCTGGGCGCTACCCTTGACCTCGACCTATTGGCGTACTTCGCCACCAGCGACAAACCTTTCCTCATGGAGTGCTGCGAGCGGTAAGACGGCGTGGGGGGGGGGGGGGGGGGGGGGGGNGGGGGGGGGGGGGGGGGGGGGGGGGGGGGGGGGGGGGGGGGGGGGGGGGGGGGGGGGGGGGGCTGTTGATACCAGGGTCCTGGGGAGAGACGTCTGGTTGACGAAGAGCCGCATCGCCTTGAGAACTCGACTTGTCACAGCACGTAGATTCAATACGGTGTGCATAACGAGAGATGCCTGGCAATGAACCTGCACACTCGACGCACTACAGTACTCAGATTCAGTTCGGTGTGCGTGGAGAGAAGGATGCTTGAAAATGGCGGATCTCGTGGTCGCCGCTCGGTCCGCACGCCTCTGCTGGTTTTCCATACCGTACTTCGTATTCTCCCTTGTAGTCCTCTGCGGCGCATATGAGTGACGGATGTAGCTCTACTTGCTCGCTCCCTCCCTCCCTCCCGTTCGTAGGACGGAGAGCGACAAGAAGGGAGGGCACTTGGCCAAGCGCAAGGCGGATGGGCAGTTCATCCTGCGAGAGTCGGCGCAGTGCGCGAAGGAGGACGAGTCGGACTTCCAGGACACGGACAAGCACAAGTTTTTCAACACCAACAACCTCTGGGTCCGGTGAGATCAGCATCACCACCTGGGTCCAATATGCTTACCGTGCTGCCCAGGGGGGCGGGGAAGGGGGGGGGTGCAGCGGATGTGATGGTATTGGGAGGTAGACAATGTGAGCGTGCTTGACCATGGTTATTTGGCGTCGTCAGATGCTGTAACGTGACGTAAAGCAAGTTTTGGGATTTTGATGCCGAGGCATGTGTGATCTCTGTTTAGTGTGCGCACGATCGGGTGATCGTCTTTGCTTGGTATCTGTGTGAATTGACTTGGGAAAGCGTTGATGAAGAGAACTAGAACAGCGGAAAGCAACAACCTGCACCTGTCGTCGGACAAGAAGAGTTGAACACAAAGGTGATTGGTTCTGAAGGAAGGGGTCAAATCCCATTATCCTGGCGTCGTCGGCAGGACGGTGGCAAAGTCGATGGCACTTGAGACGGTGAAAACAGTCACTCGCCGCACGGTTAAGCTACAAACACCCGTCGCTTTGCCTTAGTCTGTATTTTTTGCGGAGTACCAAAGCTGAGCGGTTCCCAACCGCAACCACGGAGGTGCTGACAACACCGTATTCGGAGGACGCTCCGATTGCGCCCCGCATTATATCGCGGGCACCCAACGTGGCGGAGCAGCCACCCGCTGCAGCAGCGGCGGCTGCTGCGGTCGTGAGCAGCCCGGCAGCAGCACCTCCAGCGGGCATCGCGACTGGAATGGACATGGGCAACGCGCCTTTCAGCTATGATCCTCATACCATGATGGTGATTATAGTACACACCCCGGTGGTGTTGCGGTATGCATCATGGTATGAGGATCATAGCTGAAAGGCGCGTTGCCCATGTCCATTCCAGTCGCGATGCCCGCTGGAGGTGCTGCTGCCGGGCTGCTCACGACCGCAGCAGCCGCCGCTGCTGCAGCGGGTGGCTACTCCACCATGTTGCGTGCCGGCGACAAAAATGCGATTAAAAGATGGGAAGGGGAGTCGCACACATGTGTTGCATGCCTCGGTTAGATCATTGACCACGCATCCTCGAGAGGACAGAACGCGGAGGGGTTGTGACCCCTTCTTTTATGACGGCCGGCACCGATGCCGTGTGCGTTGTTGTTTTCTGTTTTTCCTGGCATGTTGGCGGCTCTGGCGGCATGAATTAATAAACCGTCAGGTTGGACAAGCTTAAGGAGGCGATCGACGCGTCCGGGGGCCTGATCCCTCTGGCGATGATAAAGAACGGAAAGACTGTCGACCCGCAGGACGACACCTCTCCCAAGGTGAAAAAGAAGCAGTTTTTTTCATGTTTTTATGGTTTTGTTTCGCTATGAAAGCAGGTGGTTTAACGAAGGATCACGAAAACACTAACCAATTTTTGGCCGCAACACACATTTTCTAGCGGTTCCATTTTGGTGCCCGAGTTTCGTTGCTGACCTGCTGCCTTGTCTTTCTGTCCGGACTTGGTGTGAGCTTACTATTGTGTGATAACCTTTGGTTGATTTAGTGCAAGTGGAGCCCCCGTGTGTGACGCTAATAATTTTGACTCATTTTGAGAGAACTGTGTTTTGTTTTTGCTGCAGCCCGTTCTCTTGCTTGTTGTTCGGCGGAACAGCAGCACCATAGCACCACTTTTTGAAGCTTCTCCCGTCAATAACGTACCAACTGTCGTGTTACCTGGTGTCCTTTTGAGAGGTTAGACCGCCTGCTGAATGTGCCACCATGCCCGAGCCCAAGGCGAGGTGATACCCACCCACCACGGTCCAACCGGTGGGCAAAAGGAAACATACGGTAGGGTTCAAGTAAGCGTGCCTCAGCTGTCGCCGCCGCTGCCACTGCTTCTGCCGCCGTTGCCTATTGCATCCACGACTGATATTTGTTTGTTTTTTTCTCCCCGCCGCATTCCCCGCCCTCACCACCGCAGGTGTTCCAGCTGGAGACGGCGATGGGCGCGGCGATCGAGTGCTTCAAGGGCGCCGGGGCGGTGGCGGTGCCGCGGACCCGTTTCGCCCCGGTGAAGAAGTGCAACGACCTCTTCCTCCTCCGGTCGGACGCCTACGTGGTCAACGAGCACTACAACATCGTACTCGCCCCGGAGAGGTGAGAGGGAGACACGAAGAGGGAAATAGAAGGACGGAGACAGAGAGAGACACATACACCGAGAGACAAGACAGAGAAGGACGGAGATAGAAAGAAACATGCGAGTTGGGGGGGGGTGCGGCAAGGATAGAAATTGTGGCCCTGGGTTCGTGTGATTGTCTAGGGAAATATCGAGGGGGGGGCGCCTGTGATGCCCTTTTTGCTCACACTCATGTAATGAAATCGGGGTAAACAAGACACAACGGCGGGCAAGATCATCAACCCGTGTTTTCTCCAGAATATCCTCCGTTCTCCCTTGATTTTGCATTGATGCCGGTCAAAGCTTTTCTATAATAGTCGTCTTGTTCTGTCGCCGCGCCGCACTCAGGAACGGAGTCGCTCCCGTGGTCTCCCTGGACGCGAAGAAGTACAAGCTGGTGCAGCAGCTCGACGCCGCCATGACGTCTGGGACTCCCAGCCTCATCGGCTGCGACCGCCTGACGGTGTCAGGAGACGTGCAGATGGCGGGCAGCACCGTATTCAAGGTGATTATTCCACTCCCTGCATCAACCTTGCGTTCCACTTGATGAAGAATGCTTCCAACTACTTTGTAGGCTCCACATTTGTTTTTCGTGTTTCGTGGAGCTACATCTTTCCTCGGCAGACCGTGCACCACTTGATGAGAAATGCTATTACAGCAGCGTGGTACGTTGCTGCTCACACGTGCCATGTTGCATACGCGTCGCTCTAAACCATGCCCCCGACCTATAAGCACAATGAAAACCTGGAATGGATTTATTTTTCACACCTCAGTAAGTGGCTGTTCTCCCCTCCTCGGCCGTCTTCTGCGCACGTCAAGCTTACGCACGCGCTGCGGTATGGTGTATCTGAGACGCTGCTATGAACGTGGTCTAGATTTGTGCTCACCGGCACTATTGCTGTAAACACGCGACACCACCTCGTTGTTGGGTATCGCGTATGTCGATTTCTACTCCCATCGGTACTACGATACTCTTAACGCCAACACCCTGTACCTCGGTTCGCTTCTATCGCGTGCGTCGGTTTGTGATCTCAACGGTACTGCTGTATTCATACACCCACCGGTCAACGCGTGTGTGCTTCATCGCGATGCAGGGGACGTGCAGCGTGGTCAACAAGTCCGGGGAGAGCAAGGTGCTACCTCCCGGAGAGTACGCCGACGCCTCCATCGACCTGTCCGAGGCCGAGGGTGCGTAAAATACCCCCCCTTCCCCGCCCCCCACCTTACGATGATTCGGCGGCGCTCCGGCTGTTAGTCATGTTTTAAGTTGGTGTTGGTTGTACCTCGGTGACAGATAGACGTGCGACGCTGCGTTGGATGTTGCCATCTGTGGCCACGATGACCACCGACCCTCCGTTATCTTTGGACGGTTCCATCACCCGAGGTTTGGCTTGCGTGGGGGGAAACAATGGGTAGGTATAATACTTAGCCTTTGTTGATTGTTCGTGTGTGTGTGTCCCGTGCGTTCTGCTATCTCGCCGACCGCCTCCTCTTGTGGGTACTCTCGCACCTTCGTATCGTGTTCGGTGGTGCGCGAGAAAAGAGGGGGTGGAGGGGGGGGGGGG